GGTGAGCGGGCAAAACAGCAGGGGCCGAGATAGCGAAAAACAAAGGTTTGGGGTGGTGTTAATGTAATTTGTGGATGAAAGCTTGGGATGTTCCCCTGCTGCTCCTCCGTGCCCGCATGCCCTCGCCGGTACGGGGTTTAGCCGTGAAACTCGGCTTCCATTTTTCCTACACAGCTGCTGTCGTGGAGGCTTTGCGAAAAGTGCATGTGTTAGTCTTGTAAACATTAGGAAATCTTTCAGCAGTCCCGTAAGGCAGCACTTAATTGACAGCGGTTGGTAGTAATCCTTCAGGGCTGGTGAAATAGTGGCCACTTCGTGCTTAGCAGGTTTGGCCTGGGCAAAGTGCTTGCTGTGGTGTGATACATAGATTTAAAAAACATATATATTTTAAAGAATCAGCTAGATTAATGCACTTTGGGTTTCTGAAGTGTGTGGATTCCTTAATGTGTCTCTATCTCTGTTGGACATGCAAAAGCTTTTTGGGGCTCCGTGTGAAGCTGAGGCTGGGATTTCTGCACCGTTTATCAGCAACTGGGAGTCCTATAGTTCCTTTTGTACAGTATAACACATAAGGACTGAATGCAGATTGATTTCAGTCCTGATGTAGCAAAATCTTCAGCGTCTTGTCTTTTGCATGAAATCAAGAACATAACCTAGTGTTTGGCCAACTTCTGAAAACCTTAGTTCTCTGTCTTCATTTTCTTAGGTTGTAACATGGTAAGCCATATGATGGCTTTTTAAAATACTTCTTGTTTTGCATAGTTTCCCCGCAGCAGTATCTTCGATAGCAACTGGAGGAGATACCAGCTGTTGATTATTCCATATGCTCTTGTCCTCTCTGGATGACATCATAGCAAATCTCTAAGGGGTACAGTTGAAATACGCAGTGTCTTGAGAAGTGATGTGTTGCCAATGTTAGTTCTGGCTGACTGCTTTGAACGATGGTACAGCTTCATAATTTGGAAGGCACTGTGAGACCATCTTGTATAATGTTACTTAAAGGCAATGGGCTTCCTTGTTTGCTTGGGGGGAAAAAAGTATAAGGCTAATCTGGAGAACGAATGCAGAATTTCTGAGGAAAAAAATATGGGCATGCCCAAAAGTGATCTGTGCAACAGTTTAAAATAGTCTAAAGATTTGGAATTCTTGTTGAAACTTTCTTCTTTCTCTCTCCCCCTTTCCCAGGAGCCAAAATCAAGAATGGTTCTAGTCTGTAGTCATTAAAAAAAAAAAAAAGTTTTATTTCTTGTTTCAGCAATTAATGCGAATATGTGCTTCGCAGAGACTTGGAGGACCATTTGGTCTTAGTTTGACCACCTTGTTGGTCATCTGCTTCTGCTTTCCTGTGAGAATGTGAAGTAGATATAACTAGGTTTCAGTCAGTTAAATACATTTTTGTGGATTGAACTAGGGCCGCTTGCTACCTGAACAAATACAAAGTCGGTTTAGTCTTGTGTGAATCCCTGTTTTATAGCTCAAAATTGCACCATGTCTTTGCTTGACTTGTAGGGGTAAGCAAAAAGTCGCTCAGTGTTCCTACTGCTAGGCAGTAGCATTCAGATCAAACTTTCTTCTAGGCTTTCTGTTATTAATGCTACATCTCAAACTTCAGGTCCCCAGAATCTCCTGAAATGTGTTCTTACTCAATTTTTGAGATTAAATTGGTGAAATGAGAATGACTGTTTCATGTATACCAAATTCATCTAGTTGAAGCAGGTGCTCTCCTTTGAGAACATGGTGTAATTTCTCCAAAAAAACCCCCAAATCATACTGGATTAGTGAAGTGTCGTCTGCTTTAGTACATCAAAGCAGATTAGTGCCTAATTCTTAGGAGAAAATGGGGGCTTTTGTACTAATCTTGTTGAGTTTCCCATAGAGCCGCTAATGGGTTTTGCAGCTTCTTGTAAGGAATGTTTGTGCAAGGTCAAAGGATGGTCTCTCCTAGTTTCTTCTGTTTGGTGCTGGTCAAAAGTTCGTGCCTAGGGAATGCTGTTGTAAGGTGAGGACAAACATTTAATGCTCATAATGCATTGGTGCCTGGAGCAGTATTATGGGTAAACTTGTAACATCCACTCTATCAGATGGTCCCTTGAACCTGCTAGCGCTCTCTTCATTTGCTAAGAGAACTATGGGGAGTAGGAAGAGGCAGCAAATAGAAGTCCCTATTCCCCTTCGCCAACCCGGGGGATGCTTTAGGCCTTGTATTATATCTCCTGTTGTTTCTTTTCACCCTACTTTGCTCTGTTATTCCTCCTACTTCTGATCATCCTTGTTACTGCCATTTATGCAGTAAGTTATAGTGGGTATAAAGCAATATGTAGTTTTTGGTATAGTATCTGAAATCCTAAACCAGATGGAATACATTTGTTAAAAAGATTTTTTTTTTTTTTGAAGCGTGGTTTAAAAATGATTAATTTTTTTAAACTGAAATCAGTGATTGGAAACTTTGGTGTGACAGAAACCAGAGTTGTGTTTGCAACAGTAACGTTTTAAATATTTGTTAGTATTTTAGTGTAGTAGTAATAATGGTAATTACGCTGTGTACTTTTTTATAAACATTATATTTTGTAAGAGCTGTCACTGCTTGTTACTGACTGATCTCAATTATTTGCTAGATGAACAACTGTCTTTTGTCATCGCTATTTCTTGGGTCTCTAATACATAAGGGCTTTGTAACTTCATGGGAGCACAAATGTTTTTCCCCAATGTATAGCTGCAAGTAAATACCATATTTAAAATAGAGTGTCCACTAGGCAGTAACTTACCTGATTCTTGTTATTCCAGAGTTTTCTTGGAGGCTTTTTCGGTCCTGTTTGTGAGATTGATGTTATTCTTAATGATGCTGAAACACGAAAACCAGCAGAAATCAAAACAGAAGATGGTAAAGTAGAAAAGCATTTTCTCTTCTATGATGGAGAATCTGTTTCGGGAAAGGTAAACTTTTTTTTTTTAAAGTAACTATTACTGTACTGATTCTGGCATGCAGATGCATATAGGAAGTTAAATGAAAAACTGATATAAGCAAGAGCTGCAATTTCAGCTTTTGTTGTTATTGAAAGAGGAAACAGTGTTTTCCTATATATGATCTTTTTCACCATAGTCATTCAGGCAACTGATGAAACGGAATGTTTTGAACAATAGCTGTTTCTTTGTCATCTTGTATTTATGAGTAAGCTTTTTGTGCAACAGTGTGCAATCCTGTCGTTGGTTCTGACAAGAAAACTATTCCGAACTGGATCCCCCTGCTTCCCCTTCCCCTTGAACTCCAAAATCCACAACCTGACACGTGCAACTAATTTTTGGCTAGTGCAGCCAACCTGCTTTGCATATCCTGAAGTTAAGCCTTACGTTTCATGCCCTGAAGTGGTTTCTGGAATTGCATCAGAGGAGCAACATGTTAAGTTCAGCTGGCTGCTGAGTCAACAAGAGTTTTTCTTGTTGGAAAAAAAATGAAGTTGAGATTGCCAGAGGGATTCCTCTACTTTTAGTATTGCACCTAGGAACTCCTTGCCATCACTCTGGTTTTACTGGAGCCATTCTCATTCTCTGAATATTTCTGTTATGATTTGCTTTTCCTCCAAGAAACCTGAGCCAGGTATTGGGTTCTGAGATTGACTTCTAAATACCTACTTTGATCTTGACCGACCTATTGTCACTGGGTATCTTCCTGCTCTTAAGATACCTTTCCATGCTAAGATCTTGGTTCTCTAGAAAGTTCCTTTCATGGATGTGAAACTCTGACAAGATGGGCCTCAAACTCAGGAAACTGAGGGAACTAGCATTTGTATGTTCACTGGGCTGAGCACTTCTGGCTTGTATCAGCAATGCCTGAAAGGTGCCTGAGGAGTTTTGGCAAACACAAGCACAGTGAGATGAGGAGGTTTGGAAGACCAGTAATTTATTGGACAACTTCACTCTACCTCTCTCCTCCTTTTCACCACAAAGATAGATTATTCAAGTGGTTTACGTCCTACTCGGCGATGTACTGGATTTTAAGGTACAGGAATTTCTGTCATTGCTACCTCGTAAGGAAACATTATATATGCTTAATATTTACGTGTTTCCGTAGAAAGTAACCTTATGGAATCTTTTCTTGTGAGGCAAGGTCAGATCGTGAAAATAAAGTTCACAAATGCAGATCTTGATAGTAGGTTTCATTATCTGTTATTTTTCATTGACTTCTCTAACACCAGTACTTAGCTATCTGCTGAGGAAGGGACTTAAGTTCACTTGACTGAAAGGAATGCATCTCATGGCAGTTCTTTTTTGGACTTCCAAATGTGACTGTCAGAAGGTGCTTTGAAGCTCTCTGCCTTCAAAGATGGCAAGGGGGTCACGACTGGCTTATGCGAACTCTCCTGAAGCTCTAGCTTAGATTCTTAATTTTGGGACTCGAAAGTTTCAAGCTTGCTTATTAAATTCAGTCTCGTGGATGATTAGATTTTTCTTAAATGCTTTAGTGGCAGCTGGATAATGCTTATTTTCATAATCAGCTGTTTGATTTGCTTGCCTTCAAGCTTAGATAGTGCTGTTAAGAAGAGGTCTCAGTTTTGATAGGCATGTAGTAATGTACTTTCCTTTTTACTAAGATCGTGTATTAGAGTGAAAGTGTTGAAAAGTTTTAACTGGTGTTTTTTTTGCCTTGGCAGGTGAACATCTCCTTTAGGCAGCTTGGGAAGAGACTAGAGCACCAAGGGATTAGAATTGAATTTGTAGGACAAATTGGTGAGTTTTGAAGCTATAAAAGGATGTTAGGTGCATGTAGTTTATGGAACTTTGCACTTGTGACTGTCAGCAGTTTGGCTCAAACATTGCAACCTGATCGGGTTAGTGGATGGCAAGTGCCAAAAGACGATTGTATCTTACTCATTTTAATGCAAGTGATGTACTAATTTGTGCTAGTCAGAAAATGTTTGGGAGGGAAGATACGTACATGTGAGGGAGAACTGGGATGGCGAGTATTCCGTCTGTCTCAGACTGGTTAAGAGTTTGATTAAGAACCACCTGAGATTTCTAAACACTAAACTTGTGAGCATGGTACATGTGATTTCTGTTTCATATATTTCAGACTATTCATTTTTAACTTAAACACAGTCTTCCCTCTCACTATAAGTGATGAATGACCCTGATGTAAAAAGCAAAATCAGAGCACTTGATTATTTTTTTTCTGCTTGTTCCTTGTTTTGCCTGTGTTTAAGGTTCCAAGCCAAAATACCAGGTGTACCTACTGTTCCAGACTTCTAATTCTTGTCTTTAATTCTGGCTCTGAAAGAGAATCAGCGTAAAAAAGAAACGATGGGGCATCCTATAGGAAAACACTTCTAAAATAATTCTTTAGTGGTTGGTTTTCTAAAACATAGTTTTATACTGTTAACATAAAATAGTATTGAAGCTTCAGAGGATCTCTGTGCTTTTTAGCAAGATAATGTGGTATTGATGTTAAAAACGTAATTTTTTTATAACTCTATCTGAGTCTGGTTAGATTTGAACTATAAAGAATCTCGATCATGTCTAACTTCTTACCACTCGAGGTAACTTCTGCACCCTTAGGCTGATTCCTTCCTTCTGTTAGAGGGCTGTTTGCGTTATTGTCCTCCTTGGAAGTAACTCTTCATGTTTCAGCCACATATAATTGACTTTGATTGGAATTTCACAAATTCTCTATTTCTGATCAGTCAGTAGGCTCCAGTACCCTATGTCTGAACTGTTATGTGGCAGATAGGACTGAGTTCTGACACCTGCTGCTTTATGCTTTGAGGCTTTGATCAGTGGGGCTGTAAAAACAAACTTTCAGAAGAAAGCAGCAGTGTGATGCGAATGAGGCATTTAGAGGAAGGGGAAAAAACCAGAGCTGTCATATGTCAGCTTAATTTAGTCTGTTATCCTCTAATAGCTGTACAGGCTGTTCTTCATCTACTCTGCATAAATTTTATTCTCTGAATGACTTTAATTTGATGTAGTGTTTCTTGAATTTTGTGTGTTTCTGGGACTTCCCATTGTGCTACCATTTAGAAATCCTCAGAGTTATGCAGAAGTGGTTCAAGCTACTGCTTTTTGTACTTGTCCATGTTTTCTTGCATCCTTTCAAGTTTTAATGTAGTAATATAAAAAGCATCCCAGTAGTGTGATCTGTCTCTGCACTACTTGAAGACTAGCTCCAGCTGCATGTCAAAGACATATTTTAAACCAACTCTTGGAGCGCAACTTTTCTGACTGGCACAAAAAGTATTGGATATGCAACAGTAAATAAACTTTGTATTATATAAATGCTTGTCAGAGCAAACAAAGTACACCTTAGATAATTTGTAGTCATATTAGAAAACAAGCAGTTAGTGTCAGTTTCTACCAAATTGGCAATGATAAACTGGAGTTGGTGTGTTTAGTTCTTTTTTTCTTTTCTGGAATGCTTCAGTCTGTGTAAAACCAACTACCACTAACGTTCTTAGCTGATATTTTCAGTTGTGAATTGTAGAGAAGCTTGTTTTTATATACTAAAGTGTTTGGATTTTTTTAATGGTAATCTTAATTTTGTCTAACTTTTAAAGCTTTTATCTTGGTGAGAATTGCATGACATAGGTCTGGGTATGAATAATAATGACACTGGTCTGGGGACAGTAGATGCCGTTGCTAAGAAACTGGTGTGTCTATGCATATGTATTAAGAACTTGTTTCCAAATGACTGACTTAGACCAGTAGTCATAATAAACCATTTGATTGTAGACTAGTAGTAATAGTAAACCATTTGATAGGTGTTGTTAATCTGTGGGAGACCAGTTGGGATCACTGGCCTGTCCTAAATGAGCCAGTCTTGGTGTTGCTTAAATTTTATTCCTTCAGCAATAAATGCTGGAAGCCAAAACTGGGCAATGCTAATTACAGAGAATGCAAGGCAAGAAGTACTTATTAAAGCTAGCTGAACTGTCTTTAAAAAAAGATGCCATGCTAGTGAAGCTTCAAATATGTGTTCTGTTCATGGCGGTTAGCTCTTTAGGAATGCTTACTGTAGGTTGCTGAAACTGAAGATAACTTTGAAAAACTGGATAAAACATTTGGTCAAATACATGTAACTTAAATCAAATTAATTGCTTCTGTTGTCCTCTCCCACCTGCTCCTGCCAAATTAGAGACAGTTTTATTTGCTAAAAATAAACACTGAAACATGTTTTCTTTTAACTTCCTCAACTTTAGAACTCTTCAATGACAAAAGCAATACTCATGAATTTGTAAACTTAGTGAAAGAACTGGCCTTACCTGGAGAACTGACCCAAAATAGAAGCTATGACTTTGAATTCATGCAGGTTGAGAAGCCATATGAATCCTACATTGGTGCCAACGTCAGGCTGAGGTTTGTAACTGTTAAGCCTTCTCTCCCTTCCTCCCCTGCAGCAAATTAATAATTTAGCAATTATGCTGCCCCCTCCCCCCACTTCGTCCTCTTGGATTTCAAATCAGACATGTAACAGCCAGTAGCTAGTGTGCCTTGATTGGAGTTGTTGAGATCGTGTTATTATGTAGCCTTTTCTACTTTATTTGGAATTGCTCAGTGTTGTTTGTGTAGATAAAATTCTTTCAGTTCAATCAAGTGAAGACAGTCCATGTGTCTCCTTTTAAAAAAAAAAAAACCCCAACAACAACAAAAAAACCCCAAAACAAAACCCCACAACCGAATAAAACACCACCAAGTTTCTACCTGTAAGTGTTTTCTCTTGTATTTTGGTGTCTTACTCTTTTCTGCTTAGTCTTAAGAGAACGTACTCTTAACTTTCAAAGAATACCTGTACCTTCAGAACATAAGGGCTTTTATTTGTGCAGTTCTGAATAATTATGGCTAATCTGGTGGCTTTCTTCCTAGGTATTTTCTAAAAGTGACAATAGTGAGACGGCTGTCAGACTTGGTGAAAGAATATGATCTGATTGTTCACCAGCTTGCTACGTACCCAGATGTAAACAACTCCATTAAAATGGAAGTAGGCATTGAAGACTGTCTTCATATAGAGTTTGAATACAATAAGTCAAAGTAAGTGTCACTTAGAACAAAACACATTCAAGTAGATATCTCGGGATAAACAGGTAGAGTATGTAATATTTGATGAACAACCTGGTATGTGGGGATTTAAAATGTAAAGCAACACTTTCGATGATTATTGTGTTGAGCCGTTTGGCTACTGATGACACAACAGCCTTTTTTGAGGAATACTTGTCTGTTCTGCCTTCAGTACTAATAGGAAGGTCACTAGCAAATATTTAAGACTTGATTTCTGCATTTATGCTTTTTAAATATAACTATGGTACTTCCTTTACTAATACTCCAATGATGAAAAGGTGCTAATTGCACTGATCTGGCTGAGATGCTTAGCTCAGTGGGGAAGTAAGCTCTAAGTAGTTAACAAGCAGATAAGGTAACTACCTGTATAACTTGTATTCAGGAAGGTGTAAAAGTTGTGTTTATTCTTTAATGAAAACCCCCATTCTGTTCTTTTAAAGGTATCACTTAAAGGATGTGATTGTTGGAAAAATTTATTTCCTCTTAGTGAGAATAAAAATTCAGCACATGGAGTTGCAGCTGATCAAAAAGGAGATTACTGGAATTGGTAAGAGAAACAAAGTCCAAAAGAAATGGCGACTTCTACGCTGGTTGAGCCTTATGCAAATCTGGAGAGTGAAGTCAATAGTTGCAGCTTTGGCTAAACCGATGCTCTATGTGCTTCTTTCTCACCGGTTTGACTACCATTTGCATTTTGTGCTATGGTAGTCATACTTAGTAGTCAACATTGTCAGTCTGTAGCATTGTTCTGGGATTGTGACTGTTGGGCTAGCTTCACAAACGTGAACCATTGTAAATGGAACTTGGGCATGAATGTGCAGCAGCTTAATCAGCCTTGATAGATAATGAACAAGAGAAAAGGTGTAAAATGCATCCTGAAGACCCCCTTACCTCTGCAGAGATTAGCTGGTGAAGTGGGCTTGGTAAAGATTAGAGTGAATCTCTCATGTTCTAGAAATGAGTCACTTTCAGTCAGCCTGAAACAGGTATGATGGAAATATCAAGAAGCTTTGAAGCAGAAACAGCTTGATTATTGCAGATCAGGCTTGTACACCCTGGAACTAGGAAGGCAGTAAGCGGCTCTGGCTCGTGACTTCATTGCCCAGTGGCTAGTGAGCTGCTTGTGTGGAGAATGAGAAAGCCTCCGTAGCAATAGAGGAAGGGCAGAAAGCTCTACTTTATTTTTGGCTTTTGTGGCTAAATTAGGTACTCTTGTTTCTTCATCCTAGGCTGTGGAGAAAGGTGGGCTCTTGTGCTGGGTGATAACCCTTCAGGTTTCTAGTCTGATCATGGTCTAGCAGTATCAGTCGCTAGCACTGCCCACCAAACTGTTTCACAAGTCCTACCCTGCATGCTTGTCCCTTATTTAAAGCCTGCATACCCAGGGCTCCTTTGAAGCACTGGCTACTGCCTTTTCTGCATCAGCATGGGGAGGAGAGAGTAAGAAATAGATGCTCTGCCTGAGAGAGGGTTTTGCTTGCTTTAGCTCTGTGTAACTTATATGCAAGACAAAGGCAAGAAATGCAGTGTTGTGTAATTTAAATGCTGCAGAGTAGAAATTGCTGTGGTAAAGCTTTGTAAATGTTTAAAACTGAAGCGTGTGTTCTCACAGTGAAAACTTGTTTCACCAGGACCCAGCACCACAACAGAGACTGAAACCATTGCAAAGTATGAAATAATGGATGGTGCACCAGTTAAAGGTAAATAACTGTGCTTGTTTTAAAGGGTAAGCATTTTGAGTTAAAACTATATTTAAAAAAAAATCTGGAGGAGAAGAGATGACTTGTATAAATTTTTCTTGGAGAAACCACACTTCTCCTTAGGTTGCTGAAATGGTAGTGGATTTTCCTATTCAAAGCAGACGTTATTATTGACTTAGGGCATTTCACTTGGGATCCTAGTAATTCTTACCCTTATTTACCATTGGAAATTCTACAACTGATCCTTTTATCACTTTGGTTCAAACCTGACTCCATCCTGTAGACCAGCTCTAGAGAGTTCAGGATACTGATCCTTTTGTCTTGCCTGGCTACCATGCTTCCACTGAGAAAGTGTTCCCACTTTTGATTTGCCTCTGTTCAGTGTTATGTTTGTGATGGCTTTTGGTGTGGTTTTTTTTTCTTTAACCAAGGAAGGGGCACACACAGTGCTTGTGAAACTGCATTTATTTTGCATGTCTTCTGAAACTACATTAATGACATCCAGTTTTAAGAAACTAATTGAAACTTTCTTTTTTAAGGTGAATCGATTCCTATAAGACTATTCTTAGCAGGCTATGACCCAACTCCAACAATGAGGGATGTGAACAAAAAATTTTCAGTGAGGTACTTCTTAAATCTAGTGCTTGTGGATGAAGAAGACAGACGATACTTCAAACAGCAGGTACGGTCTATAGGAATCTTGTTGCAGAATTATCTGGGCTGTTGTACATGCTGCTTTGAACGTTCAGTACATTAGAAGCCACGTGTGCTTCATGTATGGCATAAGCGTTTCTGCTGGCAAGTGTATTGGAAGCTGTATAGAAGATGTTAGCTTGCAAAAAGGAACTGGGGGGATGATGGATACTGTTTCAGCAAGGATAGGATGCTCAGTGCCAGAGAACAACCTTGTGTTGTGAATATCCAGATAAAACACTTTGTGGGTAAAATGAGCTACAGGTGCATTTGTTTCCTTGCTTTCTTAAACTGCTGCAGATGGATTTCGCCTCCCAGCATTAGCCCAGGTTCAAAATTGTAACAAGGGCTAAGACATTTGACTGAAAATGTAACCCAAGTTGAGGTCATGCTGAGGAAAGGAATAGTGAAAAGGGTCACTGGAATGAAGCTATGTGGATTAGATCAGAATCTTCGTTTTAAAGAATAGAGAAGGCAGTGTAATTAAACATGGAAAACAAAAGATAACTGAAGCATATAGTGGCTATGATGGGCTTTGGATTTTGAAAAGAGGAGAAAGAAAAACTTCTTGAACCCTTTAATACTATCAAAGTTGGGAGTAGGATTGTTAAGGAAGAGGTGACCGCTCAAGATTGATGAAGGTAAGTGTTCAGGCAGTAACTAAATATGTAAACTCAATTGTGTCGTCTTTTTGTTACTTTCCATGTGTACTGCACCGTTCTGTAAGTAACGGGGATGCAGCGTTTTGTGTGGTGTGTTTTGTTCCCCCCCTGCCCCCAAGTCTTTGCCTATCAGGAACCCCCCGCCCCCAAGTCTTTGCCTATCAGGAACTTAAGATACTTGATTCTGCTGGCTTAATGGTAAATGGTGGTTTCAAAAGTGTTTGCTTCCTCAAATAGGAAATAATTTTATGGAGAAAAGCCCCTGAGAAGCTGAGGAAACTACGAACAAACTTTCACCAGCGATTTGAATCTCCAGAATCACAAGCGTCTGCTGAGCAACCCGAAATGTGAACTGGTATAAGGTGAAAAACTTTGTGATGCTTCAGCAGGTTAAAGATGGCAGCAGCCTGTGGGAAAAGAAGGCCAAAATTCCCATTACAACTGTCTTCCTTCATCTTGCAGTGCTGCATTTACCATACTACTAAAGCGTTCTTCAGTTAAACGTTCAAGTATGTATATACATTTAAAATAAAGTGCTTTCTCAAACACTGGAACTTTCTTAAGCTACTATTTTATACTGCACATTTACTTTTATTTGATAACGTTATATGCACTTGGATATGCATAAGCTTAAATCTAGTTATTTCCATGCATGATAGGCTGGTATATTTGATTTTTGCTGATCACCTATACAGTTTAGACTAAAGCATTTCCCTTCTCTCATGTTGTTTACTGCATGTTTCTTTCTAATGTTGCTTATTTGCATTTGTTTTGTTTTGAAACTACAATAAGACACAATGACTAAATCACACTAAAAATCGAGTTTTGCAGTGAATTTGTCCTAAGACTTCTAATTACTACGTTAGACAGGGTTTAACTGAAACTGCATGTATATGCACTGTGACTATGATAACTCTGGAGCCTTCAGGCACCTTACCAAGGTTTCTAAGAAGCTTTGAGTCTGTCAGTAGCAAAGAACGTTAGGAAGCCTCTCTGCCCTCCCTCCCCCAGTTCTTTCTACCACACTTCTCTAAGCCTTGCGTGTGAGTCACTCCTGACTTTTGGGGGTTCGTTGCCCAGTAACTCGTGACTGTAGAGATGTTGTCATGATTTCACCTTCAGGTGGTCAGTGGGTAAAGTATTTGAATGTAATTATCTCTTATTGATGAAATAAATGCTGGTAACACTGATTATTTCGCAAATACACGAAACTATGTGGTTCCTCCTGGCTTCATGCTTCCACTGTCTTCACAGTCTGTCTCCTGGCTGTCCTGAGAGGAGAGGCAAAGCGCCCTCAGGGGACATCCTCCTCCTAGCCCCTCTGGGCCCGTTACGAGGGCAAACAAGCTTTTTGTGGTCTTCTGGAAAGGTATTTTGGAGGCAGGCAAGCCTTAAAACTGCTAGAAGCTTGTCTGGCACAGCAGATTGTTTGTCTTAATCATCTTGTATGCATTTAGTGTTGAAGAAACAGCTGAAAGGAGTTAGCCTTCACCTGTTCACAGCTGAGCACGTGGTCTGTGATCAGATGTGTGGCTTGGGCATCCAGCGAAGCCTGCTGTGCAGAAGGCTACTTGCGCTTGTAGTTCACTTGGCCTTTAAACCAAGACTTCTCAACTCCGGTGCAAGTGTCATTGGTAACCTTACTTTATGAGTAAGTAAATAATCGAATTACATTTCTGTAAGAACTGTTTTGTTACTGTGGCACTTTAATAAAGCAGACAAAGACTCTGTGTACTTTATGCTAGGATACGTCCAATGTGGGTATCTTTGAATGAGAGCAAATTTAACTCCCTCATGTAAGTGCCTGTTCAGAAATTTAAAGAATAAAGTAAAAAGCCAAATATTTTCATGGTCACTTGCATGTTGTAATCTGGAAATGATTCCAAGAGATTTTGAAAACTTGATTGTATTTAACCAGCCTCAGATTGTGCAACCATGTATAATAAACGGGAAACGTACTGAGCTGCTATTTGAATTATTAAAACAGCTGTATTCTCACTAACATCTGGGTCGTCTTTGTTGATCGGCTCCGCCCTTTGCTCACCGGGCGGCCATGCCGCGGCCTCTGACGCCGTTCCTGCCCTCTAGCGCCGCGGCCCCTTCCGGCATG